CTGCACTTGGGAGCCAGCAGCAGGCCCGTCTGACAGATTATACGCTTCTGTCAAAGCAAAAATAGACGCCAGTCATCAGAACTGATGTCAAAGGTGCCCGGCTGGTGCGGCTCCGTGGGTTGGGCGTCGTTCCAGCCACCGAAAGGCTGCCGGCTCCACGCCCGGTCAGGGCACATGCCAGGCTTGGGGCTTGGTCCCAGGTAGGGGACGTGCAGGAGGCAGCCAATCAATCTCTCTCTCTCTCTCTCTTTCTCCTTCCCTTCTTCCCTTCCGCTCTCTCCCCTCTCTCTTCCTCCCTCTTCCTCTCCCTCCCTCTCTCTCTAAAAATCAATGACAATAAAACTGCCCTGGCTGGTTTGGTTCAGTGGATGGAGTGTCGGCCTGCAGACTGAAGGGTCCTGGGTTTGATTTCAGTCAAGGGCACATGCCTGGGTTGCAGGCTTGATCCCCAGTGTGGGGCGAGCAGGAGGCAGCCAATCAACGATTCTCTCTCATCATTGATGTTTCTATCTCTCTCTCCCTCCATCTTCCTCTCTGACATCAATAAAAATATATTTTAAAAATAACGAAAAATAATAATGTAGTGCTTGCTTTGGCAGCACAGAAATTAAAAATAACCTTGTGAAAGGTAAAGTATGTATACATGTGTTTACACTGCGGAGCCTCTTGGTTTGCGTCACGCAGCGTTCAGGAGGAAGCGACTGGAACCCTGTGATCGCTGTCCAGAGCTGCCCCTGTTTCTTGCAGGAATTTTGGGGGGATTCTCTGGCCTCTTGAGGACTGGGGTCAGGTTTAGGGCCCACAGCAACCTTCTTAGTGCTGTGAAGCCATTGTTTTCTAAAATTCCCTGACAAAGACCAACTTCCGTCTTTATGGAGCCTGTTGTCTCTGCCTCTAGGATCACACACCTGTGGGACGTGGGGGAACTTGTAACTTCCCTTTTCCCGCCCCCTCAGCACAACCAGTGACCACAAATCCCCTCACTGCCATTGCGTTAAGTGCTGACTGTGAACTGTCCTGCGCCCACCTAGTGGAAGAAGCCTGTGTCCATCACCTCCCTCTTCATCCAATCCCAGAGGTGCCCCTTGCTTTCTCCCGCCCCCTAGTCCTCCCCCAGTGGAGTTCCTGTCACCCACCTACCGCTCCTCCTCTGACCGTAATGCATAGAACAAGGTGAAACCGCCGTTCTCCGGGGCATTGTCCCCGTCCACCGAGACTCTGCTTCCGGCCACTGTCCTCGGTTTGGCTCAAATAAACTCACAAAAATGCTTCACAGGTTTGAATGTTTGTATGTTTTTTAATATGTTTTTATTGATTCCAGAGAGGAAGGGAGCAGGAGAGAGAGATAGAAACATCCATGATGAGAGAGAATCGTGGATCGCTGCCTCCTGCACACGCCCTATTGGGGATGGAGCCCACAACCTGGGCCTGTGCCTTTGGCTGGAATCGAACCCAGGACCCTTCCGTTTGCAGGTCAACGCTCTGTCCACTGAGCCACACCAGCTAGGACTGACTGTCTTCTTACGTTAACAAGCCGAACCCGTGTGTGTTGACGTGGGAAGTAGGTCAGGGAGCCTGCTGGGTGCCCAGAGGGACCCGTAGAGATCAGAGAGCGAGTCGGGGACTCGGTGCCACCTGTGGGGCCAGGTGGGGCCGCTCGCAGAACGTGACCCGAGGGCAGCCACTGGCATCGCAGGGCCGGGCACGGGGCTGACTGCCGGGGGGTGCCAGGAGCTACCCGGAAACGCTTCCGCCGCGTCTGCGTATAATCGGGGAGTGGAGGCGGAACCTCGGACAGAGGAGGAAACGCAGGGGATCAGGGGCCGTCACGGGCCAGGCTGGGGAAGGCG